ATGATAGAATCCACTTACCTGAACTTCGTAAACTAAAGGAAATTCCTTAAAGCTTCCTAATAACAATTAACACAACTAAAATTAGGACTCAATTATCTAAACTAAGCTTTCTCCAATAAGTTCTCATAACTAGATATGTTCACTATTCTACTAGTAGAAATCCCTTAATAATTAACCTAGTCCATAATAATCATAAAATATATATATAAATTTGTGAAAAGTAATTTTAAATTTTCATATTAGCCTCTGGTTTATATACTAAAATATCGATAAAAATAATTTACTGATTTTGTAAATTTACAAAAAAGCTAGAGAAAACACATAGCATTAGTTTTCACAATTTTAAACCGTAGGTAAAACTAATCATAAAAATCAATTTTAATGCATTCAAATACATTTCAGGTTAATTTAAAGGTGCTGGTCATGGTCTCAAAAATTCAGAATTAACAATCCAAAATTTGATACTAAGCAAAGCTAAAACTATGAAAATAACATAAACCGTTATGAAGCAATTTTATGAACATTTTTAGGACCTTTTAAATTCTGATTTTCAGATCTCAAATCAACAAAAATAAGGCCTAAACAGTACCTATTTTATCTTAATAATGAACCCTTAAAATAATCTACACAAGGAAGAGTGATGCTTACCGTTGGTGTGTTTTCCTCTCTACCATAAAGAATAAAAAGAGGAAATTTTCCAGCAACTAAGAGAGCTTGAAATGATGATGAAAACCTTAGAAAATGGATGTGAACATGCTTAGGTTCTATAAAAATTATTAGGAAAAATCTACTTACAAAACTAGACTAAAAGAAACCGTTCTTACCGAAAAGACAAAATTGCAATGAACGATCCTTGAAGGGACTTGGAAAAGCAACCACAACTCCTATAAGGTGTGATTTAAAACATAGGATAGATGATTGAGAGGAAATTTTCATATTTGTTTAGAAATGTTCTTGGGGGAAAATGAATGAAACAAACATAAGTAACTTAAAGGAGAATGGTTTGGAAGATGAAACAAACATGAATCTTGGAAGATGGAACAAACTTCTTCTCTCTCCTCATGCATGACCAATTACTTAATGGGGATTGTTAGTGTTTTTTGGTTTTCCTAACTAACTTAATTACTACATGTGTCTCTTGGGTGGAAGGTGGGTTATATTGCCTAATCATGGTTAGTGGAAGGTGAGTTATATTGCCTAATCATGGTTATGAGTTAAGTAAAACTYTCTATATTCCCCCAATTAAGTTAATTTAATTAAGGTAGAAAAATAAAGAGTAAAATAAAGGTAATATGGGGCTTTACTTGGTTAATTACCTTCAAATAAAACTTTGGATAAAATTTATGAAACTTTATAAATACTCAAATAATGCTACGATTACAATTACCATATTTCACAATATTTATCTAATTATTAAAGTAGTATTGTTAATTTTGTTACTTAAATACAATTATAATCTTGCTAATCTTATTAATCTCTTATGCATATTTATTTTTTATTAACATACATAATTAATTAAACATTGATAAGATGAATCACTAAATTTTGTTGTAAATTTCTTTTTAATAAGTAAATAAAATTAACTTGAGCTTAATTAGTTAGAGTATTAGAAGCCTACAATTATTAACTAAGATTGATTAAAGTTTATTGGCATAAAGCTAATTAGATTTGACTAGCTGACCTAAAAAACAATAATAATATAAAGTCATGAAAATACCCTGTGAGTGACAACCCTCAAAGACTTTCATCCCACTCAACGATAACAAGGAAAAAATTGGCCTTAAAATCCAACTCTTGATCCCACACTTACCATAGAAATTCAAGCTACTAAAAAATACAAACAACAACCACTCTCACTCATGGCTCAATGCTCCACTACAAAACCAAAAAAATTACAAAATAGTCTTAGACCATTCCCCACTTGAAGACAGTTATGGAGGAAAAGATGAATGCCTTAAAAGTTAACAACGTCTGCCAGCTTGTCCTGAGACCTAATCAAATCAATATCGTTTGCTCCAAGTAGATCTTCAAAACAAAATTAAAAGAGGATGACATAATAGAGCGACACAGAGCAAGATTAGTAGTTCAAGGCTGCACCCAAATAGTGGGATTGGATTATAAAGAGACATTTAGCCCCATGGTTAAACCAACCACAATAAGGTTAGTTCTTGCCTTGGATGTGAGTGCAGGGTGGAGCCTAAGACAATTAGACATGAATAATGCATTCCTACATGGAATCCTCAAGGAAGAAGTCTACATGGAGCAGCCTCCAAGTTTTTCTGACCTTACTTTACCAAACCATGTTTGTAAACTTAAAAAATCACTTTATGGTCTTAAACAACCACCTAGAGTTTGGTTTGATAGGTTAGCCTCTTTTTTACAACACATTGGATTCTTTTGTTCAAAATCTGACATGTCCTTGTTTACTTTAAATCAAAACTTTACCCTAATACTCATGTTGATCTATGTAGATGATATAATTATCATAAGGACAAGTCCAGCTAGCTTACAAGAATTCATTGACAGATTAGCTTCATAATTTACCTATAAAGATTTAGCAACACACCATTTCTTTCTTGGTATTGAGGTTCATAAAATTAAGAACGGTCTTCTACTTTCTCAAGGAAGTATACTTGTGAAATACTTGCCAAAGCCTAAATGTTAGAAGCCTCACAAAATACTACTCCCATCTCCACGTCTATTACAAGCCAAGTAGATGACATGAACCCTGTGAATGCAAAGGAATACAGAAGCCTAGTAGGGTCATTGTAATATCTTACTCAACCAGACATAGTGTAGGCGGTGAACCTGCGTGCCAACATCTTCAACAACCAACTCTCAATGATACTTGAAATGCACCCTTGACTATGGTATAACTATGTAAAAAAATAGCATTTTAAACTTATACGCTTTTTGTGATGCAGATTGGGGAGGTTGTCCTTTAACATGCCGAAGAACCACTAGATTATGTGTCTTCATTGGATCCAATTGCATCTCATGGTCCTCCAAGAAGCAACCAATAGTGGCACGATCAAGCCCTGAAGCTGAGTATCGAGCAATGACATCAACTGTAGCTAAACTAACATGGATCACATTCCTTATTCGTGATATTGGCATTCCACTTTATAAGGCACCTCAACTATTCTTTTGAACAAAGATACAACTTTTCAATGACATGATGAAAAGATATTACAAGTATTCAAGGATACAAACTCCCGAAAGAGTGAAAAAAGAAAAATGTAAATAAAAAAATTACACAGAATTAATAAAAGCTCCCCAATTAGCATAAATCATAGAACGGGAGTGATGCATAAAAGAGTCGACAAGAGAACACTAAATTGAAGCTTTAAACTTAGCTGAATAGAAACTTTCGTCGTAAAGTCTTCGTTTCTCTTCAAATAATCTTGAATTCCTCTCAAGCCATAGTTTCGATAATAAGGCTTTGACAACATTTAACCATCAAAATCGAACTGAAGAGGAAAGATGAGGAGGCCCATGTAAAAACTAAATATCATTGTCCACGACCTTGAGATCAAAACACCAATCCACATTGAATGGATGAAATAACAGATTCCAACACTTGGAGGCATAGGAGCAATGAAAAAATAGATGTTCATGATCCTCCCCACTCTTTGTACATAGGCAACAAAAAAAGGAAAGTAGGATAACAGAAGGAGATTTCTTCTGAACAATTTCAGTCGTATTCAACTTTCGTTGAGAAAGAATCCAACAAAGCACATTAACCTTTCTTCGGCTCTTGGTTTTCCATAAAGCAGCAAAGAATTCCTTGGGCATCGATGCATTTGAACCAAATCTTCTTAGTGAAGCAAACAAACCTGAAGTTTCAAGACTCCAAAATCTGCTATCTATTGTATCTAAAATGGATGGCAGATTTAGAGCTGATAATAATGTAGAAAATTCCTCCACTTCTTCCTCTTTCAATGCTCTTCGCAATACCAAATTCCATGAACTAGTATTTGAATCCCAAAAGCTTGATACCACACCATCACGATTGGTAGAAAGTTTAAAAATTCTAGGAAAAGCCGACTTCAAAGGCTCTTTACTAACCCATGTAGAATGCCAAAATGATGCACTTCGACCATTACCTACTTTAAAATGTACCAAAGAGTTGGCTGAATTCCAATATCTAGAAATACCACTCCAACGACAGTGGTTGCAAATATTCGAATTGATGGCGGTAAACCAATTTAATGGCTCGGAACCATACAAACTTTCCACCACTTGTCTCCATAAAGAGGAAGATTTATTTCCAAATCGCCAGCCCCATTTCGCCAAAAGAACTTGATTTTTCTTTAAGAGTCCACATACACCTAACCCCCAATCCTCTAATAGTAGTGATGTGATCTTCCAATTAACCAAATACCTCATTTTACCGGTGAAATTACCTTTCCATAAAAAAATTTATATCTCTTTTTCAATATGTTTACGAACTCCAACAGGCATATGAAAAAGAGACATATAGTAGGAAGGAAGGTTGGCCAAAACCGAAGTACAAAGTGTTAATCTGCCAACTCGATAGATGGAAGCGTTTCCATCTATGCAATTTCTTATGAAATTTTTTCAAAACTAGTCGCCAAAAGTCAGCACTCTTAGGATTTCCTCCTAATGGAAGGCCTAGATACACAAGAGGAAGTTTTTCAACCTTGCAATGTAAAACCGAGGCTTCAAACTGTAATTTCTCATTAGGAATATTAATACCACAGTGCTTATTTATCCCAATTGACTGCTAAGCTCGAGAGCCATTCAAATGCCATGATAGTCTTTCTCAAATTTGATAGCATTGCATCATCATTTTTGCAAAAAATTAATGTATGATCAGCGAATTGGAGATGGGAGACATGTATAAGCCTCCTTCCCGCCGAGAAGCCTTCAAAAGAACCTTTAAGATAAACGTTGTCCAACAAACTACTAAAAACATCACTTACTAGGAGAAAGAGGAAGAGAGAAAGAGGATCTCCTTGCCTCAATCCTCTAGAAGCCATAATTCTCCCTTTAGGTCTCCCATTTATAAAAACAGAGAACTTGTTGCCTCGAATGCAGCTATTTATCCTAACAAACCCATTTCTTGCCAAAGTTCTTTTGAAAAAGAAACATCTTCGAGAAAGTCCCAATCAACTTTATCAAAAGCTTTTTCAATATCCAGTTTTAACATCCACCCACTCTTCTTTTTGGCCCTATAATCTTCCACCATTTCATTGGCGATCAGAATTGGATCTAAGATGTCTCTTCCTTCTATAAATGCACTTTGGTTATAAGAAACAGTAGAAGAAATCACCATCTTAAGTCGTTCAGCAAGTACTTTGGCGACAACTTTATAAATGGAAGTGGACAAACTAATCGACCTGAAGTCTTTGATACTGGAAGTCATCTCTTTCTTTGGCAGTAGACAAATAAAATTCTCCTTAAGACATGAATTGAGATGACCATTCCTGTAAAACTCATCAAACATCCGAATAAAATCCGGCTTCAATTTTTGTCAAAAACGAATAAGAAACTTCGTAGTGTAGCCATCCGGTCCGAGAGCCTTATTATTACCAAGGGAATTTAGTGCATCCCAAATTTCGGCCTCTTCAAAGCGTCTCTCCAACCAGGTACATTGTGCCGAAGAGATAGGCCTCTAATTGAGACCTGTAACAATGAATCGAGGATTTCGGCTTTTCATATAAAGGCTGCCAAAAAAGCTGATTATTTCATTATCAATCTCACGTTGGTTAAGAAGGGAAATCCTATTAGCATCCTTTAACTCAGAAATCAAAGTCTTCCTCTTACGAATGACTAAATATCTATGAAAGAATTTTGTATTCTCATCACCTTACTTCAACCAATGCACTTTACACTTCTGAATCAGCTTCCTTTCTTCCTCAATATAAATATTAAGAAGATCATTTTGAAGTGAAATCCTCTGATTCCTTTCTTCTGCCGGGATGCCAGTGCTTTCCTCCTTACAATCAAGACATGAGATATCACGGATAATTTGAGCAGACTTTTCCTTTTTCA